ACATGGAGACAAGACCAAAAACACCAACATTTCCCCCAGGTGTGACATCATGTTGTCTGTATGTTTTTCTTTTAGAACCGCAATGGTGCAGCAGATGGAGTTAAAGCCACCATAAAACCAGATTAAGTTCTGCTATCGATACGATTTAGATTTACGGCTTAGACCTCTTACAGGAGGTTCCTTTTGTATCCTTGTTGTTTCTAGAGATACAGGACGGTCATATGTAAAGACTGATATAAGAAATATTGTTCATCTTACTAAAACTCTGCACATATCCTGAGTTCTGAGAGTAAGATGTCATTGTTGTGTGTCTCCTGACAGATTTGTCAGTAAACATGGGTAAATCAGATTTACTTCTCAGGGGATAATGTCCTATTTTCTCCTCCACCAGTGATCAGAAGAACGCTATGATGGAATTTTAATCTTCATTTGAAGTCAATGCTTTTGTTACGTTGAGTTATTTGTCAGAAGAGCTGAATCCTGATTTCCCATGGTGACAGCTCTTTTGCTCGATAGATACCAGCAAAAACTCCAGATCTACAAAAAAGAACGATTGTCTCTGAAAGATTCTTCAACTCCTTGATTATCCCGTACCATGCACCTTTTTTTTAAAGCACTGCAATTTATACTGTAAGCTAAACAGTGAGATTCTCACGTTCTTCAGCACACCCCATGAACGAGAAAACAACAGTAATTAATATTTTTGTGGAGAGTATGTGAAAAAAAAGACGGTCTGTGGGCCTCCACAGCCCAGATCCAATCCCTTTTATTCCTAACACATTCACTAAAGCCCTCTGAAACCACCAGATAGGATCTATTTCCTCTGATGCCATAGATGGAGACATGGATCTAGTTCTCAAGACTTCACTCACTAATTGATTCTCAACCTGAAAGGAGAAATAATGCATCATTCATATAGGTTATACATAATGTATGTTACATAATGTCTGAAGTGGATTTTATCTAAGGAAGCACATCTCAATAAAGACTTACTTGAAGAAAGTGTGAAAAGATCCTGCCCATTTTCATTATATGGATGCTTTTCTCTGAAATGGCACTCAGTGATAACAAGGAGGAACAGCTTTGTTCAGGGCAATATCAGAGGGAATACGTTTCAACCACTTACATTAAGGTTTTGGATAAAAAAACAAAAAAAACTCCACTTTATTTTTCGCTCAGGTAACTGATATGTTGCTGGTAGTTGGGCAGGTAACCAATGAATGGTCTTTTTCTGGTTTCCAGTACAATGACTTCTGTTTGAACTACATTGGGGAAGCAAGGAGTATTGGTTTTGTAAGATGTTTTCAATGGGAAAGCCTAAAAGCCTGGGAAGCTGATGAAAGCTTTTCAAAGATTTCAGTGGGAAAGCATTTCTGTTCAGGTGTGGGCACCATATAATGGCAGCTGCTAATGGTGGGGGTGTGGCAGTTATGGATCATACAATATGGCTGTGTAACCCTATGAAATATGTTCTCTCTCTGCCAGTGAAGATGGCAATTATTAAGACCCAAGTGGTATCACATGACCTGATATTGCAGCAGGTCCAGATATTTAAACGTGAATTTAGTTGATTTATTCTTGATCTGTTCTATGTAAATATAAGACATTATTTCAAATGATAGATCTCACAGCTCAATGTTGAATCGGGACCAAGAGGAAGTTTAATTTTTTAAAATTCTGATACAGTAACTAAACTATAGCACCTATGAAGGAGTGAAAATATTGAGATGGGATTTCAACTCAATGGGGCTTTTTAACACTCCAGAAGCCAACATATTATTCATATATCTGTTCTGAGCTAAATATGCCGTTTTATAGCTGTGGAGATATCATAAATGTATGGTGCATACATTTAAACTTCCTCTACATTGGGAAATCCTCTCAATTAATTATCATCAACTTTTTCAGAACTACCTTTGAAAACCAGAGAGTCCCAAATACAAACTAACATCATGCTTTCTTTCCCAAGCACATGCTGTGAGAAATGTCAGGAAATGTGCACCTCTGCATAAATATAAGTGTACATTACAATTTATTCTTCCGTTGTCATGACATAGGAACGAGCTATGGGCCCAAAAGCAGTTCATTTTTGGAGGAAGCAGAAACTAGACATGATGGACATGGACAAAAAAAACTCACAGGAAAGGTCTGGCAACAAAGGAAGCAAAGGGAGAATTAGTATTGACCGCAAACTGGAAGAGGAGTAAAATTAACTGAAGCAACAAATAATGTCGAGCTGCACACATTCGGACAGGAAGTAAAGCGAACCGGAGTACACGGAGATAGAAACAAGAACAGGAGCAACACAAAAGCAATGATAACTCTGAAACCAGGACGGACTTCTCCGGGAAATAATGTCAATTCAAAAGCCCAAAGAGCAAATAACAGACCCACGGGGAACAAATCCAACGGACAAAGGCTTCCATATAAAGGAGTTTAATTGAAAACTTGTGTGGTCAGAAGCTAACTCAAAGTAAAAGGGAAGCAAAGACATTTTTTCTATTGATTTATTTTCCATAAGGTCTACTATCTCAATTCAAATTCAGTTTTTTACGATTATCGGGATGATCATCTTTTTTGAGTTTGTCAAAACAAAGATAATACTCTGACAGTTGGTCTTGTTTGGAAAGTTTGCACCACTATCGTGACCTAACTTGTGAGATATTTGTGTTAAACCAAATGATGACAACAAGACACTCTTGGCTAATCTGCACATGGTTAAAACAGATTCCAGCACACAGTGTGCAGTCACAGCCCGATAACTGAAACTTAAAGTGCTTGCAGATGCTTTGTAGAACCTCTGTCATTAACAGCTCAGTGTTTTTCCCGCGTTTGCTGCAGTTTTCTCTTTTCACTTGAGGCGCGAAAAAACGCACAAGCCCGAGAATCCAACCACAGCTTCAGCGGAGTAATTATTCACAGCAACATTTCTCTGCTTGTTTTGAAATTCTTATTTCTTTAACTTTGGTGTCGATTCGAGCTCGTTAGCCCAGACATAAAATTTAAACCTAAAATAGGTCATGTGAATAGTATGATCGACTCCATTCAGTGAGATGTAACGGCAAAACTTCTGGATTTAATGTTAGGACTGAGTTCCCGGTACACCTAGAGAGAGTCTTTCAGCAGTTTGATTTTGATAAAACACTTTTAGAAGTGTCATATTAGCAATTGTTGGATGTTTGCCATACTTAGCATGGCCAGGCAAACACAGATTCTGTAGGCAGCTGTAACCT